CCCGGATATACGTTATAAAAAATAATCAAATGAGCCGAATATGTGAGTCAATTGAGTTGCACGCGACCGTTATATCCGTATTTGCAACGCGGTTATTGTAATTATGGTAATGATGCTGTCGTTTGTTACGTCTATCCATGTTTGATGAGACCTATGAGGGCGAAATAATCTTACGATATTATAACTCGAATGAGACGTACATAATCCAACAAAGTAGTGCACGCGTTTCGTGAGAATCGACGTTTTTAAAACACTCATTTCCCTGTCTCAATATTTTTCCTACCGAAGACGACTCATTATAAACAGAAACAGCGGAATGATAAATATTCGACGAGGAAAGGAAGAAGTCAGGAGGGAGGAGAGATTGAACGAGAGAAAAATGGGCAAGTTTGAACAAGCCTCAGCCACGCGACCATTATTGCATCGCTGAGTAATCAAATTATGGTAATGACCGGCTCGTTCGTATATACATCGGTCATTACTCAACGCGAACTGCAGTTAACTAATTCACAGAGACGTCTTTTACCTCTGTTGGACACAATTTGCAGATCATAAAAATCGGTGATTGTGGGAATATGAATGTACTCACACTTCATTTTCTCGTGGTGCAATGAAGTCCACGAGTTATCTAGACTCGCAATGGAAAGTAGGAGTGTTTAAAATACCCTAGAAAATTCAATTTCGCTATTAGCAACAGCCATTGCAAGAAGTTTCAATTTCATAAAGTTAAAAAATCGGCAAGTCCAATTGAATTTCCATCAACCAGTGACAGAAATGATTTCTTTCAAACATTAATATTTCACTCTAACAAATTCACCCAGTGCAACTGAAAATTGTATGACACAGTGCAATTTGCGTAAAACTTCTGATCTTTATGCCAGGCCCTAAATTTCCCCGTGAATTCTCCAGACATAATATCCACTTGAATAAAAATATCCGATCATCCTTGTATCTGAAAAAAAAGGGTTCTAATTTTACAAGAACCCGAATGAAACACTTTGTACCCGATCCTCCATGTTTTTAAACTCCAGTCATTTGTTTACCGTTGAAAATAATAAAACGTATTTTTTTCCTCTCGCTTTGAAATTCAATAAAAACGACCCACGATTTTTCCCATTGATTGGCTGGAGGAAAATACAAATGTGACGCCTGTGTTGAGGCAGCTGGTACACGGATAAATTTACCTCACGGATTATTCAGAACAAGAAGACAGGGGGGAGCAAAATGGGGCAAGTGGGGAGGGGGCAATATACCTGCGAAGCGAAACGGGATCTCAATCGACAGAGCGGACACTTTGTAATAAAGCCAAACGATGGACCCGAGAAGAGAGGATCAGGTCCTCGGCGAATAAAGGAAGGAAGGAAGTGGAATGACGAGGAATAAAAAAAAATGTAAAGAAAACAGGAGAAATGAAAAAAAGACAGAGGGAATAGATGGATGATGAAAAAGGAGAAGAAGGAAAATCAGAATGGGCTCAGGTGGCTATGGTATGGCGATAGTTGAGAGATGTCGGGTGAAGGGATGAGAGGGGGTGGATAAAGAAACGCGGTGGGACGAAAAGCAAGTCCAGTAGTCGCCGGGTTCCTCTCTGGGATCAATCGATAGGGAAATATCGGCGTAGAGGAGTGAGTTGAGGGTGGAAAAAGAAAAAAGTTGAAAATGTTAGAGGAAAAATGAGAGAGGAAGAAAATAAGAAAAATGCCGACGGTCGAGAGCGTCTCAGATGGTCTTAAGGGGGTGGGTCGAAAGGGGGATGGGGGTGACGTTACGGATGCATAAGGGGTGGCATTAGTCGACAAGGGGCGGCTTGAACGGGAGAGCCAGGGCTGCATCATTCCTTTGTTCACCCCCGGGAATCCTACTTGTCTTGTACGCCAGAATAAGAACCTGGACGCTCTTTACTATTTTTTTTTTGTTTTTTATTTTATTTTTCCTTCCACTCGACCACCCCCTTATTCCCTGTCTCTCCTTTTTTCCCGGGTACAAATAAAAAAGGGAGAAGGAGACGAAGAGAGCATTGGGAACTTGACGATCGGCGCTTATGACCCTCGATTTGACGATTCTCGGCTATCACTTTGAGTGAGAAATTCAATTAAAATGTCGTACCATTGTAAACACACTTTTTTTCTGGTGACAAAAATGGCGGGAGTGTAAACGCGGGGAAAAATTGAATTGGTGAATTCGAGAGAGTTGAAAGAAGGAGATTGTGAAATTGCAGGTTTAATTGCTGTTCTGTTGTTGCTAAATCTATTATTTGATTGAAGTCGAGTGAGTTTATTTCAAGAAGGAAACGATATTTATTTATCAAAATCTTCCCATCAATCAGACTGAAAAATCAATCCGAATCAAGTAAAGACAACGTATTTTTTATTGCAGCCACGATAGCCACTCTCAATTTGATACTCTGATTTTTGTTAACTCCGATGAAGTTATGGTGACGTCTAAACAAGTTGGTACGCACCCACATTGAGTCGAGGCTTATGTTAAACAGATTCACCCCATGAATGGCTCTATAGCGCAGGGAGACTTTATATTTCCTTTTTTTTTTAGAATGAGTGAGGGATACGGGAAATAGACTGTCACACGTGGAAAGAAGTCATTTTGTGCCGTAGGTTGGGGTGCGTTGAGAGAGGCTTTCAGTGTTTCACGGTCGTGCGTACGTCAGGCGAAGGGCGAACGTGAGGGGTTGCCGTCGTTGTGACGTAAGAAAAGGGGTTGAGAGGTGAAAAGAAACCTCGGGAATCGGATCAATGTATCGACTCGGTTATTCTGAAGCGATTCGAATTGTTGCCGTATTAATTCGACAAATTGTTTCAAATCCGCTGAAAACGTTGAAAAAAACGGGTGCGGGGGGTGCGCGGGAGGGGCGGGGGGTGCGGGAGGAGATTTTTCATGGGCATGATATACGCGGTTGTGAATGAACCTGAAGTGCGACAAGAGTGTAACCCGGTGAAATCATCGGTGCGTCGTGCTGAATGAGCCGCAGGCACGTACTAAGAGGGATTTAAATTGCAAATCGATTTCGCCTCTTTGTAGTCACCCACCCATAGTACGTACCTATCTGCCGATACGTGATGACATTATCCCACCCCCTTTCTCCTCCCAGCCACCCCATTTTTTTTCTCCCTCTCCTACCCCTCGACGCTGTATTCTCGTGCGAAACGAAAACTCGACGATGTCGTTGACGAGGAGGAGATGCGCGGTAATCGGGTTGAGGAAGACGTAAGATACAACGAGGAAACGAGGGAGTGAAAAAGGCAACGAGATGTGTATAACGGGGATGCGATTGAATCTGATGTATATCGGGGAGTTGGAGTGAGCAGAAAACAATGAGAATTATTGGGATTTTTTCGTGCACCGGAGAAATCGAATTTTGTGTTGAGACTTGGCATTTTAAACAGAAATTTTCCCATATGGAGCGAAATATAAAAATATTACAAGAGTATCCTGTAATTTTTATGTGTCTTTATAGAGTTCTAATCAATAAGGCATTAAACACTAAAACTTTAAGAATTTTTTGAATTATCAATGAATTAAATCATCGAGGCCAGCTGCCATTGAATTTTGCCCTGCGAAACAAGAATAGTCCACTAGAATGTGAGCACGACAAATGTTTGAAAAATCTCCACCCCACTTCTGTCTCAGAAAAAAACTGAAAAATATCCACTCTAAGATTCATTCCTCGGGATTATTATAACTAAGGAAGTTGAGACGCTCGTAAAAGGGTATTCACCAGAAAATGACTTCGATTCGAACTGAAAGAAACTCGTAAAAACGTCTCCCCCCGCGTCCAAGGGATTAAAAAAATTCTCAAAACGCACTTTATGTTTAGTTACCCACATTTGGCGGGTCATTATAATATTTCGAAGGAGAGTGGTCCATTGTCACCACCGGTACATCCATAAAAACCCACTGGGACGTTTAAATTAGCGCGAATCCCAGGGGCCCACAGGAGAATATCGAAGGTGAGCTTATCCATTCATTTTGAATAAAAATATAAAAAAGAAATCCTTCAAAGCGAGAGTAAACGGAATGAAAAAAGGAAAACCACCGAATATGCGGAAAAATCCAAGGAAAAATGAAAGGGGGTTATTTCTCGATGTACATCCTACGTACAACCTACTCTCGAATCCTAACAATGAAACACCAAGAAAAACGATGTGTCGCCGTATGGTTAAGGCCAAGGGAAACGAGACGATTGGTACACACAACCGACAAGAGAGAGGAGAAAAAACATGAGGGAGCAGCGGAGGGGTAAATGTCCACGAGGAGCTCCTCCGAGGCTCGGGGCATCGCGCCGTTTAACGACGATTTCGGTCGTTTACGACTTTAATAATTTAGGCGCGGCTTGGACGCGACGCTCGACACGTTTTTGGTCGTAAACCGCGTGACTAAATCCGTATTTATGTGGAAGAAGGAAGGTAGCTGGGCCTATCTCTGCATCCTGCCAATTTCCTTTTATTTTTTATTTCCTTCACTATCTAACCCCCTCACCCCACACCATTTGCACTCACACGGGGGATAAAAAAATCTTAGCAAACAAGTACCCGGTGAGTGTTGCTCGAGAACACGTTGAGTCACAGCCGGAACCCACAAACGAATAATCTCACGAGGTGCTATTAAAAAGCTGAATACACCGCGTTGTATTATTTTAATGTGTTGCAGAGCCCTGAGTACCTTCAATACCGTCTTGTTTTTCAACTCGAGTTAATGGTCATTTACTGAAATTTTGTTGTAGTGATGAAAATGAAATAACATAAAGAGGAAAAATAATTACATGACATTTTGAGCGAGACCGTTCCTTCACCGAAAAGTGTAAAATCGTTTAGTGTATTTTTATGAAAAAAAAATCTTCCCTGGGGCCGATAAAATGTTTTTTTCTTTAATTTTCCCTCATGCTGTTGTTCTCGTGTTACAATTTCACATTGTCTCTTTGGGATTGGAAGATCCGTTCTATTATCAAACACAGACAAGTCTGAATGTATTTATATTGGACTCACCAGTCGGGGAGATGGCTGAACTCATCTACGCTCCTTCGACGCCCTCACGTCCCTGCAACAGCAGATAAGAGACCAGGGTCTCGATCAGACCGTTGGAAATAATGCATGCCCGCGAAGTTGAAATTTTCAGGTCACGATTCGCGGGATAAAAAGATCTTCCCTGACTTCGAAAGCAATTCCCTTCCAGCCCTCACTCGACCTCCCACCACACCCCCTCAACGCATACATTTTTTTTTTCTCGCATTCATTTTTCAGTATATACAAATATATGTGTACACGTATGGGTGGAGGTAGGCATTGGGCATGGAATGCCACGCCTACGGGAATAGTTCAACGTCGGGGATCGATCTTTGAACTTTGTCGAAGCGCGAAGAAGTGGATTGCATACGAGTCTCGATATCACTATGAATTCATCCATTTTCCAGCATTACGGGATAGAGTTGAAGAAAAAATTTATCAGAGTTCATTAAAAAAATATCCAACTATTGTAAAATTTAAGAAGAAAAAAAAAACACCTCTACATTTATCAACGGAAAATCCGTGAATCATGAAATAGGAAATTGGATATTTCTAAAACGTTTAGTTCTTCTCGATGAAAAAATAATTCCCATAAATAACTCACGGAAAAGGCTAAAAATTAAAGCTTTATCTTATTTATTTCATGGTGCAATTAGAGATGTATAAATTAATGGCATCACAATGCATGTGCGTGGTGGCGGGTTGGGGACTGGTTGGGTCCCCCGTTGACTGGGATCTTCATAAATTTACATGTCTTTGGGTGCGAGAATCATTTTTTACAACCGTTATAACCGAGAGGAGTGAGAGGAGCTGTATCCCCTCGGTACATAGGATAATACAGTGGTTGGTGGGACCTACAGCAAAGCCTGTGACCACGCAGTCACACTTGCTCTTGTCCACCCGCGGTTTTGCCCGTAATAACCAACGGATGTCTCCCTCCCATTTTATTCCTCGTTACCCGCCTCTTTCTCTCGCCTCTTCCACTCGTATTATGCATCGATGCTTTCCGTTGGATAAAATGAAAAAGAAAGGGAAAAAAAAATCCCAACGGATACCCAATACGTGCGTAGACCTCCGTCAACGCAGGCAAATCAATTAGCCACCGGGCACATTTTTATCACCACCAGCGTATCTCATAAATTTTAATTCTGGAATTCCAACCGATAATCCGATAACTGTGGGTATTATACCGAGAAACTCGTAGGTGAACGAAGAGAATGAATGAGACACACAAGTGTGTCGTTAAGTAGAGAGAGTGGGAGAGAAAAAAAAATTAATCGTAAGAAACGAAAATAATAAAGGTGAAATTATTAATAGGAATAAATTAAAGTTAAGTGCCAGCGCGACAAGAAATTCAACAGTCGAAAAAATACATTGGTGAATGAAAAATGAGAGATATGAATTTATGTGAGTATATTGTGAGAAATAACTGGCATTATTTTTCTGGAAAAATATTCATCGTCTTTTCGTGAAGTCAATTATTCCAACTATCTGCCGTTTCTTTTAATACTGTCAAATCACCCATTGATTTCACGTAAAGGCAAATTTGTTCCTGAATCACCTCAAACCACTCAATAAATCTCAGTGAATTAAGGAACAGGCAAAGAAAACTGGATGAATTGATTACAGTAACGAAAAATGGTGGCAGCATGGCAAAAGTGAAAAAATAAGTGTGAATCTAGCTGGTGAATTTTCACAGGGCCAAATCATTCCAGAGATAACTAAGAATAATGGCTCTTTATCGCATCCACTGGCACGACAAATGTTTATTTTTATCCCATGGTATGATCACAATACACTGCAACTGCATTCACTATTCAACTGGTCACAGTGCAAGTACAGCAAACGGGTGCCCCCATACTAGTCGTGGCAAGCCTCGAGATCCAATCACGGGTAATTACACGCGTCGACAATTACCAGAGAGTTCTATTGTCCGGGTGAGACAAAGTAATGTAATCCAGAAACATTGTTATAAACGATTGCGATCTCAATCATTGGCCTCTCGACTGCAATGTCCGAGTCAATTGGATTAATATTCTGGAATTTGTCGATAGGTACGTGTGGATTCACACCTTTCTCCAATATTCTGTTACCCCGATGGTTTATTTTTATCTCATGGGCCTGCCACACTGCACTAGAACCCGAAAGACACCGATTCCTCTCTCTTCCCTCATTTTTCTCTTCTTTTTTTTTGCTTTCAGTTCGTATATCGCGTGGGCGACAACACACTCTACCGTATTCCTAGGGATATGCGTCAGAGTCTAGATACCTCTCCTCGAATTAATGAGCAGAAACAAATGACTCGGTGTTAGTATTGTCGCGTCCTACTTATATCTCCTAGATTATTGACGGTCTCATCAAAATAACCCCTGGGCTACTTCAAACCAACGGCCAATCGACCAGATTATTGATTGATTATCCAGTACTTTGCAAATAATGACGAATTTTTGTAGGGACATTTTGGCGGCTTTTATTCCACTCGATAGAAGAGGTTGATGATTTTTTATTTATTTCTTTTCAAACGTAATAGTTGAATTTATTTTCACTCTGTCAGAAGAAATGCAATGAAAATTGATATCATTTTTTTTCAATATAAAATCGTTAATGAGATTAATGAGACTATGATTTGCCGATAAATTAATTAATTACCATATTTTTTTGTCGAGTTATTAATTTTACTGATCAGTAGAAAAAATTGTGTTAGGGATATTTACGACGCCAATCAATTCACATAGGAATACAGATATTAAATTTCAGATGTTAATCAAAGCGAGAAATTTATTGATCCAGCAGTGTAATTCCGTAAATAAATCCAATTGGTGCCAAAAAATGACGAATATTGTGGAATAAATCTCTTGTTTTTGAAGCTGACGGTCCTAAAGTGGAATTATTGTGAAACTTGATCAGTGGTATTTAAACCGAGTGCGAGTGGAATTATCCACGTGGAATTTGCATTCGTAATTGCGAATCGTTAATAACTAATTAATGGTGAGTGTTCAGTATGTGTAAGCTCACTCGTGCGCAAATAATCATTTGCAATGACGTAACCCACGTCACCCGCAAAACACATTCACAGGCGAGCGATTAATTAATCCGAGAATTCTTAATTTTTTTTTTCTCCATTCCAATCTCTTCCCATCATGTGATATTAAATTACTCGTAATCGTCAACTCGTCATTTCGCGTTGTATATTCAATTCCTCATTGCTATTCCATTGGGACGAATATTTATTATTTATTGTCCCCCACCCACCGGTAAATACCCATTAGGGACTTATTCAAAATCAGTGATTAAAAAAAGTCAATTATCGTGTTGATATTAATCAAGCCGATCGTGTTGGCAATCTATCGAGATACCAATGCACACATTAATTCGCAAACAAGTATAATTAAATCCTACAGCGACACATCGTTAATTACGAGGTTTCAAGCGATTGCCTTTTTATTTTTGCCATTTCATCGTTTCATTCGCACTCTCGTTTATATATCTCTAATGACTTCATGTCGAACGGCCAACGGTATCTCATGCACATCGATGAATGAAAAAAAATCCAACGAATACCTGGAGCTGTGGCTTTTCTCCCACTTAATGCCGAGGAAATTATTATGCTCATAAATAAAATATTCTCCTCAAATAACGCACAGGGTGATTAGCGCTGTAATGAAGTCGTTAAACATTTATCGATGGCACAGTGGAACATTTTTTTCATCACAAATTTCATGTCACAGAATCCCAATAAATAGTCGATATTTTTTCAATGTCTTTCTTCAATTTTGCAAGTGGAGAAAAATTCTGTTGATTGTAAAAAGAGAAAATTTTCGTTTCAGAATATTTTTCAATTCCAAAAAATGTTCTTGAATTGACTAACTTCTTTCCACAAGCCCCAAGAAATTCTCGATATTTCTCTATTATTTTCTCCTCCCTCTGTACGCATTCAAGAAAAGTAATAGCCTCCCTTCCTCCTCATTTCCGAAATTTTTCATGAATTTAGAAACTGCTCGTCCGATATGAAAAATAAAAATATCTCAATGAAAATGTATGGTGTAGTGAACACGTGCGCAAACACGCGGATCTGAGTACCTCCTCACTGTATCCATTCCCAAAGACACGACGAATAATGTTGGCCGCGGGAGTAGACCCCATTTCACAAATTGTCCTGTAAGATCAATGACAATATTGTCTTCGAGCTCTTGATGAAAATTTACACCACCATGTAAAGGTAATTTTGATAATGCTCGAGTACACGTCATACGGATTAAATAGTGGATGAACGGTTTGAAGTGGCGGGGTTATACGCGTAAATAAGAAGGAAAAAATCCAACACGGATGGCGCTCACATCGGTACTTTTATACCCACGATGTTGGATTTTCATCGTATGGAAAAGCCTCGTGAAAATGTTAACCCGTGGTGGGGGCGTCTGCGGCCGCTACACCAGAACTAAGGGGTTGTTTGCCTCCTCGTACCGCTCCGGCCTCCTACAACCCTCCACCATCCCCCAACCCCTTTCACCACTTCATCCTCCAGCCCTCTCAGTGTGCCGCCTTATATCCTACACTATCCTTATCACGTATATACCAGTTGAAACTTCATCCCCCACCTCTCAGCTATTTTGCATAGGGCCTGCGCGCCAGAGCTACAATCCTTGCTCTTCACCTCCCTCATCCCCCCTAATCACCTTCCGCCCTCTCGCCCTCCTCTCAGTCCGCGGGACTTTTCGCGGTTTCTCAACTCAAAATCTTCGTTTATCCTCAACTTCGATACACTTTTTCAACAGAAAAGAACTGCTATTTCGGAGTCCCATGCTCCGTTTCATTCTCACAATTCACATAATTTGAATAAATAATAATTTATTAAATGTTTTACATTAACTGTAAATTTTTTTTATAGCAGTTGAAAAATTCAGTGGGTCTTGAAAATTGCAGATGCACAGTTTTTTTTTCCGAAAACAAAAAACAATTTTCCATTTTTCTCAAAGCCCGAGTGAAACATTCTCCTCACGACATATTTGAGCTAATAAATCAAGCTTAGGAGAG